TAAATACTAACTGTGACGGATGTCTGAATTTTATTTTCAGTGGAGGTGCAGCACCTCCATCAAGATTGTTCTTTTTTTTCACATGCGAGATGTCAGCCAATTACAGGTTACAGAAGTACACTGGGGATTTTCCCTTACTGGTGTGTATTTGTTCCCACAATCTTCTGCAATCTTGCAGGAACCAAATGTGAGACTTGTACTTTACTCGATTATTTCAGTTTCATGCAATTTTATACTTTTTACAGTTAATTTGTGTCTGAAAGCTTGAGTTACTTTATATTTTATGAACTTTCATCCCCTTTTTGTCCAGTGGAAACCATGTATCTCTAAATTGTGTTGATGTTGAATGTTTGAAGTCTTTATGGGCTGGGAAAGTCGTCGTCCTCCTCCTCCAACTAAATAAGCTATTTAAACCTCCCTTGGATTAGCTGGAAAATGCGTCGTCACAAACCTGAAAACAGGACTATTTCCATGAACTCATGAAAAGCTGACTTGTTAGGGATATGTGGTTCTCACAAGGCAGCGACGCTACAAAAACATGACGTTATAGACCATGATGTATTGCTTTATATTAAACTACTCAACAGGATGTGAAGGAGTTAAAGTAAGGTCAATATCAGAAATTACGCCAGAACCCAGATTCAGACCAGGAGACAATGCAGCAGTGTAAATAGTTTATTGATGAAGGCAGAGTGAGCAAATTAAGGCAGGCTGAGGTGGTAGGGAGTTTCCTTCTAAGCAGTTGGAAAGTGAGGGCTGGCTGGAGTGTGGCTGGAAGGGTCGGATCTTCAGTTGGCTCAAGAGGCGTGGAACTGGCAGGCAGGCTGAGCAGGTGGAACGGACAATCTGGACACTGGAAGACAGAAATTAGTAAAGGCAAACTGGTAATTTGACAAACAGGCTTAGAGCTTGATGTTAAGGCTTTACGGTACACAATTTAACAATCCATCAGGGAATGAATGTCTGACCTCTCCTTAAGTAGTGGTAGGGATGGCTGTTCAGGGCCAGGTGTGTAATTACCAGCAGGTGCAGCTAGTGCCAACCCAGGAAGCCAAACACGCCCATAACTCAAAAAGGGAAAGGGAGAAAAACTGGCCAAACAAAAACAAACCAAGCATGCCTTACTCAGCTAAAGGGAAAAAACAAATGAAAACACACTGACTCAGTCTCAAACTCAGGTGTCACATGCAAGAGTCATGACAGTCAACCTCAAACAGTAAAATGCAACATACAGTTTAATGCAGCAGGAACATTAATCCAGAAACATCAGATATAAACACTGATGAGGAACATTTTACTGCACTATGATTACTCTTAGCTGATAATACTTGCAGACTTTTACTTTATTAAGGTTTGAATGCAGGACTTTTACTTGTGATGTAGTGTGGTAATAATAATAATAATAATAATCTTTATTTGTAGAGCACTTTTCAAAAACAAGTTACAAAGTGCTTTAACAAGTGTAAAGACAATAATACCCAAGAGACAATAATACAAAAACAATACAAGATAAAAGCATGAAAACATTGAAAATTAGTAAAATACAATAAAATAAAAGGGATAAAATAAAGTCAAATAAGATCAGGAAAGGCTCTCCTGTAAAAATATGTTTTAAGAAGGGATTTAAAAGAGTTCACTGACTCAGCTGACCTGATTTCCTCGGGCAGGCTGTTCCAGAGCCTCGGGGCCCTGACAGCAAACGCTCTGTCCCCTTTAGTTTTCAGTCGAGACTCTGGAACAGACAACAGACCTCTGCCAGAGGATCTCAAGGTACGTGCTGGTGCGTATGGGACTAAAAGGTCAGAAATATAACAAGGTGAGAGGCCATGAAGAGCTTTAAAAGTTATCAATAGAATTTTAAAGTCAATTCTAAAACGTACTGGGAGCCAGTGTAATGAAGCTAAAATAGGAGTAATGTGGTCATATTTCTTTGTTCTGGTTAAAAGCCTGTCAGCTGAGTTCTGGACAGTCTGGAGTCGATCAATAGATTTTTGGGTTAAACAGGTGAAAAGGCTGTTGCAATAATCCAGGCGTGATGAGATGAAGGCGTGTAAAATGGTCTCGGTGTCCTTAAAAGTTAACATAGATCGAATTTTAGCTATATTTCTAAGTTGATAAAAACATGATTGAACAAGCTTTGTGGTGTGCTGCTCGAAATTTAAATTACTATCAAACCAAACACCAAGGTTCTTTGCCACAGGCTTAATGTGATTTACTAGGGAACCAGTGGATGGCAGTATTTGTTTTGCCATCTGCTGGGACCCAATGACCAGGATTTCTGTTTTGTCTGAGTTCAGCTGGAGGAAATTATTTGACATCCATTTTTTAACTTCACAAAGGCAGTTGTTAAGTGAACTCAGCATTCCAGGGTCTGTGGATCTGACGGGCAAGTATATTTGTGTGTCATCAGCATAAATATGAAAAGAAATGCCATGTTTATGGATAATATGTCCAAGGGGAAGCAGATACAAGGAAAACAAAAAGGGTCCTAAGACCGACCCCTGAGGCACACCATATTTAACTGGACAGAATGAAGAGACATAGTTGTTTACAGACACGCAAAACTTCCTATTTGACAGGTAGGATGAAAACCATTCTAGAGCAGTACCAGCGATCCCCACCCAGTGCCTCAGTCTGTCTAACATGATGTTGTGATCAATGGTGTCAAAAGCAGCGCTAAGGTCCAGGAGTACAAGGACTGAGCACATGCCTTCATCAGCAGACATTAAAAGGTCATTGGTGACTTTAAGCAGGGCAGTCTCAGTGCTGTGGTACTTCCTAAAACCAGAGTGAACCTTTTCAAATAATTTGTTATTTTCCAGCACAGTGAGCAGCTGTTTGGACACAATTCTTTCTAGAATCTTTGCAGTAAAAGGCAGTTTTGAAATTGGTCTAAAATTATGTGGGAGGGAGGGATCTAAACCAGGTTTCTTTAAAAGTGGGTTCACGCAAGCCGTTTTAAAATAATCAGGGACACAACCAGTAGATAGGGAGCTGTTGAAAACAGAGATCAAAGGGGGCCCAACAGAATCTATTACTTTCAGTAAAAACTTTGTAGGTATTACATCAAGTGGGCTGGAGGACACTCTCATTTGTGATACTGTTTTAAAATTATGGTATTAGTGTTTTTACTTCAGTAAAGGATCTGAATACGTCTTAGACCTCTTGTTTAAGAAACACTGGGGGCAAATTATATGGTAATCGTGAAGTAGAACTAGTTTTATAACAGGCACGCAGTCTGTCGGAGGTGTGAAAATGGTAGCAGCACCCCTTGTCCTCACCACAAAAATGGCCATTTAGGTTAATTATTGTACAGCTTATTATGACCCACAAGGAGGACACCTCTGTCATAAAAAAGCTATACTGTAATTTCCAAAAAGCTTCTGGGAGAATGAGACAAAACTGGGGCTGTTGTTGGGTCAGATGTGCGACCAGGCTGGGCCAGTTAAGCCTGGTCCCCACCTTCACCAGCTTTATAAACTTTGTCCAAAAATACTCCATTAGCTTTCTATTATACTTTGCAATCAGAAACTTCTCTGGAGACGGTCAAGAGTCGGTGCAAAAAGAGATTATCCCAAAACAGGACACATAAACCCGTACAACATCCCAGCAGGTCGGAGGATGAAGTCAACCCTATGGTCTGCAGACAGCTTTATATACCCCTTCTGGGCTGGTTTGCCCCCCCTCCTTTCTTTATGCTGAATTTCTTATCTTCTGCTTTTATGCTGTTCACATGTGTTGTTATACCACTTTTACAAGTTTTCCAGCTTTCATTCATCATTCTGTGTTGTTGACTTTCTATATTTTGTTATATTACAGGATAAGAAACTCATCATTTACATTGTAACTCAAATGTCACCCTTTTTCAGCAGTTATGCGTATATAATTTGACACACAATTATATTTCTTAAATTACTACAGGAATAACATATGTTGTGCTGTGCCTTTTATTGATGCTTGGTTTCTTACAGTAATCTTGTTGTTATACTGGCTTTTTACTACTTGTCTTCATCTATCCATCCACTTTCTGCCTTAGAAGCTCACCCACTCTGCCAAGCAGAGTCAGCAACTGCTTCGTCAGGAAGTTCACCAAATGCCCATGGGCAAGTTCACTTGTGGTTTACAATCAACCCCTTAATCAGTAATTAAGCATGTAGTCTTAATTGGTAATTAAGCATGTAGTTTTAATTGGTAATTAAACATGTAGACTTAATATCAGAAGACTGACACTAACTTTACACTTAACTATGTGAATGGTTTATTTCCCAGTGTTTTGTCTTATTTGCTTGTGTGTAGAGTTTTGACACAATGAGACAAGTTTTGAAAAACGTGTTCAAGCAACAGGCAAAAACTGTATATCAGAAACACCAAACTGTTTGTTCAATTAGGCAAACAAAAATTCTTTGTAGGCTATAAACAAGCTACAAGTTAGACTTTTCCTGGCGCTGGAGACAGCTCATTGTTTTACTTGATTGATGCCAATGAATGAAAATAACTAAACTATGGTTGTGCCAGCTGCAGTCTTTTTATTGTAGTCAGCCAAGAAAACACACAGTGAGTGAGTACATACATTTAAATTTATATATTTAAACATAAATTTGAATCACAATATGCAAAAAGGACTGGGAGTTGCAACATGTGTAAATCAAAGCAGTTTTGTAAAAACAGATTAGGTGTAGTGAAATGCAAAACTAAAATAATCTCATACTTTAAGTATTCATTTTGAAGTTGAAAAAAAAAAGATTTACTAAACGGTTAGAAGAAATAGGATTTCCTCTGTGAAATGTAAAAATGAAAACCCTCTTTTTACCTGAAACTTGAAGTGATCTTTGATAACACACACAGAATAGGCAACACAAAATTGCGAGTAGATGCTAAGGAACATGTGAGGAACGAATCAGAAGCTACTGATAATTCATGATTCGTTAATAAGTGGTTACTAAATAATTGATGATTAAATGATGATTTACTAGAATGGGAACATTTATGAGCACACAAAGAACAGTGAAAAATGTTTAATTTACACAGTTTAACAACATTTTATAATAATCAGAATCATCATAACATAAAATGTGCATGTGCTCCTTCTTCTTGTGTGCAGTTATGGTGTGAAACCAGTGGAGGATTGTGGAAGTGATGACCCTGGTACCTGGACACTCGGCAGAGGCCCAAAATATTTGCTGTTAGAATTTCTGATTCTGATTCTCATGGCTTTCAAACACTTTATCAACCAAAATAGGGACTGAAACAATCGACCTGTGTAGCCTAGAACAACAGCTGCCACATTTTACTTATTTTAACGCTCAAATAGACTGTCCATGTGGAGGGCAGATATCATGGATCATGATCAGACAGACAGAGCTTTATTTCAGAACAGTGATCAGGCTCATTGATCATAATTAACTGATTACAGTTTGTGAGATCCCATGGTGTGACTTACCATTTATGACATTTAATACTGGTCACTAGATGATGCTCTGACACCGATGTAAATAAGCCCTTCAGGGACTGTGGGACATGACTTGAAATCTACTGTTTATTCAAAGTAGATCAATGAAGCATATATGGATTCTAGCCCGTGGGATATTAAACAGATTAACAATGTTTAATACAGTTTATGCATTTAGCAATGGAACTATCCAACAGAAGCATGTTTAGAAAAGCAAAAAGTCTGATTCTCTTGTGTTGGTCAGACAAGGCCGAGAAAGTCTGAAAACAGTAAATTTCTTCCTGTGAGATGCATACAAAGGACACTTTGTCTTATCCAGTGTCCTATCATCGTAACAAATGAAACTGCACAAATGATTACAAAAAGTGTTGTACAGTAAAAAAACAAACACTAAAACAACTCATCCTGAAGCTTAAAAACATTAAAATAGGTTGTTAAATCTGTATTGATTTTTAAAGCAGTAAGTTATCTTTATTAATTTGTTATATATATATATAGAAAGTTTTTGTGTGTGTGTGTGTATGTATGTATGTATGTGTGTATATATATATATATAATGTGTATATATGTATTTGAGCTTGATATGGGATTTTTAAGACTTCTAGTGAGATTTGAGTATTTTAAAATCAGATTTTTATTATTCTTTTATTATTCTTTTATTATTCTTTTTCTCCTTCTTTTCAGAAACACATACAAAGATTATCTCTAACATATGTTATGCGTAGTTATGAATCCTCTTCAGGATTACTTTCTTAATTTTTAAAAAGTACTGTGAACAAAAGTACATCTGATGTTCCAAAAAGGGAGCTGCAGAGTGCCCTCTGGTGGACAAGCTATGCAACGAAAACTCTCATGGGTGTATGAGCTGTCTTCTGCTTATTTCTAATTGTCATTTTTTGCCTGTAATAAACCCGATACTGATATATCTGTAATTTGCTCATATTGGCCAATAATATCAGCATATCAATTTATTGGTCAGGCTCTAATACATACACACACACACACACACACACACACACACACACACACAGTATGTTAGCTGCTGATCAATTTCGAAAGTTGTAACCACAGAGTGTCTACATTTTTCGTCAAAGTAGAAACCCAAAGAAACACCTTTACTGAGAGATGTGGTTTTTTAAGATAAAGGAGGGCCAGATATTGTGGTAAGTGGGCCATGTGGCAGGATTATATGTTGTATGTGATGTGAGACGTGTTTAAATTAAAATATGGGAGGGCCAGATGTTGTAACAAAAAGGCCAGATGTAGAAGATTATAGTATGTAATGACGTTGCTGGGCTGGATGTAGATGCTGCAGGACCCGACATTGGGATGACAACACCAGATGTAGATGCGGGAGGGCCAGATGTTATGATGTGTGAACCAGATGTTTCAGGGTCAGATGTTATGATGTGTGAGACAGATGTCGGAGGGCCAGATGTTATGATGTGTGAGCCAGGTGTAAATGGCAGAAGGGCAGATTTTATGGTGAAAGGGGATGATGTGATAGATGTTTGTTGGCCAGGTGGGATGGTTTTAGTGCCAGGTGTAGATGCAGATGGGCTAGATGTAGATGTTGCACAAGATGCGGTGTACGGATGGCCAGTTGTTACAGTAGGAGGACCAGATGTGGATGTGGAAGGGCCAGATGTTGTAGGTACAGGAACGGATGCATTTGTGAGTGGGACAGCTGAGGAGGTGAAAGGGGAAGACGTTGAGGTGTGAGGGGCAGAAGGGGTTAAAGTGGAGGGTGGACATTTGCAGTTTTCAAGTTCAGGGTAAAACTTAGTAACGGTTGTTTGGAGAGGGCACTGTGTTCCAGGAAACGGCTTAAATTCAGAGTCTGCTGTCCTCAGTTTCTGATGGAGTTCATCCAGAGTCTTAGTCTGCAGATATTTGTTGTCAGATTCATCAGGAACATTGTCACCCCAGTGCGCGCTTGCTATCCAAGTCTTTGTTTTGGAGCTGTAGCAGCAGAAGGCTGACCAGAGCATGGTGGGAATATTAATCCTGTTTCTGAGGAAGTTTGTGATGTTGGGTAGCGCTCCAGTTACCACAAAGCCTTCAGTAGCATTGTTGTTGTTGATGCAGTATTTGTCCATAACACATTTGATGCACTGCTCCATTCTGTTCCAGCTTCCTTGGTTGAATGTTTTTGCTTGTGGAACGATGTTGGTCAGGGTGAAGGTGGATCTTTTGTCCGTTTTGTTGAATCCGTAAGAGCTTGGAATTAAATGGCCTCTGTCAAACCTTACATTGTTTCTGTAATCACTGTTCCCAGCCTGGTTGGTGTAGGTCTTGTTTTTGTCTACATCCCACATGTTCTTGTTCTTGTCATCTTCGTTCTCAAGCTGGAAGAGTTAAAGGCTAAATTACTGATGCAGGCAGCGAAGTAAAGCAAATTAATTGTACAGTAAAAATGTCCATTTATAAAAAGCTGCAGAGAATGACTTTCTTTCTTTGTTTGGTTACATCATGAGGTCAATGACAACTGTCTCTCATGATGATATTTAGGGTTATGAAGCATAATAATGATCATGATGACTATTGTTGTTTGTATAAGTGCTTGTATTATTATTTTTGTAAGCTAATACTTGTAGCAACTGTAGAATAATACTTTCTTATTATCTTTTTTTTAATTTTAGAAAAACACACCTGTGGCTCAATCTTCCAGTCGTTTTGAGGTCTCCTCCCTCTTCCATTCCCTCTGTACTTTAAAGCAGAAAACACTGGAATCTTGTTCATGAGGTCGTAAAGCGTCACAAATGTTCTCTTTTTCATAAAAGTCTGGCAAATGGGTTTGTATCGGTTCTGGTTCAGGATGTGGCCGCCCTCCAAGATTCCTGGGATCTGAGGTGGCTTTGCTTCAAGGAGAAACTCCGCACAGTCGGACACCGACTTCACCACTTCAGCAACTGTGGGAACAATGGGCAGGAAGGCAGCGAGGAGCAAGAGATACCACATCCTCATAGACGTCATCGTCAAACGCTGTGTCTTTTTAGGTCAGAGGAGAGGAAAAAAAACAACCATCAAATAGTAGTTAAGCTTTGGAACTGAACATTTCACTTGTCATCCTGGACTCCATCCTTTTACTATTTGTACATGTCCATTGGAAAGTACAACTGCACATATAACTGTTCCCCAAATCGACCAGTACGAGCGTTGGGAAGTACCAGTCCAGCCACAGGTGTACCGGATGTTATATAGGTTACCTAAGTCAAGTGACGTTTTTTCAACGTGGAAAACGTTGTGAAACTGGTAGTTTGGTTAGGTTTTACCATTTGGTTTAGGCAGAAAAACCATTTGGTTAGGTTTAGGAACAAAGTCAAAGTGAAAAATTTTATTGACCTTATAACTTATCCACTTTGACTTTATTTCACACGGGACTCAAACCTCGGTCTTCTGAGTGACAGTCCTGAGTTTATTTGACACACATCTACCCCACCCAACACATTCTCACTCCCAGCTTGTTTACATATGACCTCTTGGTGCAGCTTCTTAAAGCCCTGGGTACCCCTTTAGCTTTGTTTTTCGATGTGTAGGGCTATGCAGTCAAGTTAGCGAGAAAAAAATGCATCGTCTGGTTAAGTTTGCAATAATAAATGTGTAATGTCTTGTAAAACCTTTAAACTGATTTCACTGTAAACTGTGAATGTGCTGCAGGAGAGCATTGTTTATCAGGCATAACAACAGTAACTATGGGGGCGGAACTTCGCTAGAAGCCGTTTGCAGTCATCACACACAGAGATGACATGATAGTTAAACACCAAATCAATACAAGTAACAACACTGTTTAAATCATTTCCCAGTAGGTACACATTTAAACGCATAATACAGCCAGAATCAGTTCATCTTGAATTTTAAAGGACAATGTACAGAAAATAACTTAAATTTCTTAGAGTGTACTAGAAATATGTATCTGGTCAGAATATATAGCCTATCATATCTATTTTTGTATATAGTAATAAACAAGTGAACTATCTAACAAGTGTGGCAACTTTCATATATTATACTTATATATTAGTTTCACTTTAGGTATTAATTTGGATATATTTAAAGTAGATTCATGATATATTTGATTTTGGAAAAAGTCAAGAAAGCCAACAATTTGAGTAAAATTTAAGTTTAGTTTTCTCTTTCTAAAAAACATTATTTACGGAAATGAGGCAGTCAGACCGAGATCACAGCGTATTCTTATATATATATATATATTCTATATTCTTATTTAACAAGAAGTCATCTACTACAAGAATACATTTTTCTTTGTGTAAAAAAGTGTTACACTCATAAGATTTAATCAATAATCAAATAATTAAGAAGCACAAACTTTACAGTTGTGCTTCTGCAAATGAGTACTCTCTAAATCATCAATGTTGAATGCGACAGGCGAAAAAAGCCTGAAATAAATAAGAATTATGTATAAAAAAGTAAAAGAAAACTTACCAGCTCGTGTACAGAAATGAGTCAAATGGTGTCTTTGTATTTGTAGCAGCGAGAACCAGACAGAGTTCCTTAAATATCAAAAAAGCTTTAGAGGAAGTGTGAATTATATTCTACAATCAGCAGTTTATAACAATGGAGAAGAGGATGTGCTAACTTTCTCTAATACATTAGTCTTGATTTACGTAATGCATCCAGAGAAAAACTTCATCACTTCAGTTCAAACTGACAGAAGATAGGAAACTCAAAAACACAAACAACAGACACAATATTATGAACTGATGGATAAAAGCCAGTTGAACTGCCATTTAGTAGAGGCCTGTATCTATAAAGAAACGAGAATAAGAGTCAGCTTTGTACTTTGTACTTAGACACAGCAGGGCTTTAAACTAAATGCTAACCTGCTCACAATGACAATGCTAACACACTGATCTTAAATACCTTCAAAACATTCCCTTCAGCTTCAGCTGTACTGTGTGTTCAGTGCTAAATAGCTAGTAGGGCTGCAACTAACTATTATTGTCATTATTGATCATACCTATCATTTTCACGATTAATCGATTTGTTGTTTGGCGAATAAAAATGTTAGAGTAGGGTTAAAAATGTCTATAGCCATGGTCACCCACTCAAATGTTTTTACTGTTTCACTCTTAAATCCTCTGAACCTCATGAACAACTGTTTAAACTGGGTGTTACAAGCCGAAGCATTACTCAGCATCCTGTCCAGCTTCCCAGGGCACATTGTCCAACACCAATTTTGGTTTAGACTAAATTTGACAATGTTTTTCTATATTGCCTAATAAAGGTCAGAACACAGTTATCAGTCATCTGACATTATTTTCTGCTGTCTGTTTGAAATAAAAGGCATTGTTCCCAAGCAAAAAAACCAAACTACCACAGCCAAAGCAGTTTTATTTGTAGTAGTGTAGTGTGCTGATTTATGAGCTTTTCATTCTCTGCTCCATTCATCACTTACTTTACTGCTTCACATTGGAAAAGTACAAAAAGGACACTAGATGGTGCCCTGGAACCTCAGTAAATCAAGAGCTCTGACAAAACACACTATATTTATCAATGAAGGATAGACGCACTCTAGCCAGTTGGATATTACACTGATTTACACTCCACAGCGTGGCACGCTGTGTATGGTAATTATCTGAAGACTAACAGACACATGTTTAAAAGGAATATTATAAGATAATATTTCTCCTCTTCATACAATAAGTTTAATGACATGTTGCTAAAAGCTCAGTTTAATTCACTATAAAGATAAAATCACCACTTCACCCACATCATACAAATCATGTACATTTACTATCTGAAGCCATGCAAATGACACTTCCTGTTTCCCATCATCATAACAAATGAAATTAAACAAAAAGTAAAGTAGCCTACAATAAAATGTAAACAAAACAAAACAAAAACATCTCAGTCTGATGATTCAAACATTTGTGACAGAACAATTCTCAGGTTGGTAATTCTGCATTGAATCATTTTCATATTTAAGGCAATGCTATATCTGTATTGGTCAATTTGTTTTTATATATATACGTACAGGTTAGCTGCTGATCAATTTTTTCAAGTTTAATTCACTCTTAAACATAATTGAATTATCACAGACTGAAGGCTTTGTTGAAATGTCCTAATTCAAACAAAGAGTTGTATATTTTCCTCATACAGGTAGAAACCCACAGGTGTGGTAAAGAGAGAGGCAGCTGTAGATGTGGCGAGAGTAGATAATGGACCAGAAGTGGGTTTGAAAGAGGCAGATGTTGGCAAGAAGTGGTTGGACAGTTGTGACTGTTTGTGAAAAACTAAGAAACAGGACATTTTGTTTCAGGAAACACATCTATCCCCAGTTGTCGTTTGAGTTCTGCTCTCTGTTTGAGTGTAAGTGAGCACATATTTGGTTTCTGGAACATTGTTGGCCCAGTATGCCATTGTGATCCATTTCTTTGCTCTGGGGCTGTAGCAGCAGTATGCTATACAGCTTAGAGGGAATTTTAACCCAGTTATTTAGTTTGTTGTTGCTGTTGTTGGGTATTGCTCCAGTTACCACATAGGCTTCAGTAACACCATTTTTGTCTGTGCAATATTGGTCTATTTGATATTTGATGCTCTTCATCATTGTTTTCCAGCTTCCCCGATGAAATTTTGCTTGTGGCAAGAATTTTTGTCAGATACATTGAACCCATACAAGCTTTCGATTAACTGGCCCTTATCAAACCTTCCATTCACACACACTGTAGGTCATTCTGACTCACATACACCGTCCTGCTGCCCCAAATCATTTTAATGAATCCACCGCTAAAAATAGTCCCCAACAAATGCACTATTTCCTCCTGATTGAACGTTTGCTTAAGAACTACAGTTGGGCCTTTTTTAAGAATGAAAATATATTTATGTGAGCTGTTTCTAAAGATTTAGGAACCACAGATGGAGAAGAGAAGTCAGAAAGTATTTGTAGTAATGTTGATATAAATATAGAATATGAGCTGCCTTATCCCTTAATTTAAATTAAGTATTATGAAATGTAATTCTATGGTTTAGCAGTGAGGTGTTTGGGACTACATAACTTTCTCTTATTATAATAAGTCTGACATATGAATTTGTATCAGGTCTGGTTCAGAATGTTCCCGTCCTCCAAGATGCCTGGGACCCGAGGTGGCTTTGCTTCAAGGAGAAACTCCGCACAGTCGGACACCGACTTCACCACTTCAGCCACTGTGGGAACAATGGGCAGGAAGGCAGCGAGGAACAAGAGATACCACATCTTCATGGACGTCATCGTCAAACACTGTGTGTCTTTAGGTCAGAGGAGAGAGAAAAAAAACATCAAACATTACAGTTTGTTTCTTCAGTTACGTAGTGAAACAGGAGCAAACACAATGGAGGTATCTGTTTTTAAATGCGGGTTTTGTGTGTTTTAATGGTTTCCGCCATGGAGAGTCAGGAAGGAAAGCAGCCACTGCGTTTGTTTCATTCAGTGCATCCCGATATATCTGGAAATCGTATGTAACTGCCCACTGTGCCTAAGATTGCACTAAGTACTTGGGACAGCACACCTGAAAAAACAGCCCGTTCTCATCTCAGGGCATCCAATACCAACCCTTTCAGAAAAAGTGACAAAACATAGTTATTTGACGCTAAAGGGTACCTTTAGCAAACAGGGGCGTTTCATACGTACGCTGAAGGGTACCATCAGCGTAAAATCCTTGCGCTTTGTCACGCTGTCTGAAAGCGTCAGTTATGACACATTGACGTGAGAATGTGTTGGAAAAACTGTTTTTGGAAACCGCAGCAGAAACAGCTGCAGTAGCTGGAATGACCCAGATGCAAGGAAATACCAGTAGATTGTGCTTTATCCAGCCAGAGGGAACAATCACCGACCATCCGCACCGTGCCCGGTCGCTCCACAATAACCTTTCCCTGGCCCTGTCCACCCCAACGCCCCATTCCCTCTCCGATACGTACAATGTGTTGTGTCGCCATTACGACCTGCCCACTGTGAACAGTTGGTGATCGTTCCCTCTGGCTACATGAATTTTATCCATGCTCCATGCACTGCAGCAGCTGGGGCTCTCTGCAGCACCACAAAACTTTTCTAAAGTCTTCCATCTTACAGAGAAAAGAAGTCACGTCGAAACGAAGTTTGCTTTATTGGCATGAATGATAATACAACAGTATTGCCAAAGCTAAAGGAAAATACAAATAAACAATTCAATTCATATAGTTAATCGAATAAATAAAATAAAATAATTGTATTTCTAGATATTGGATATAGAATACAGTGTGTGTGTGTGTGTGTGTGTGTGGGGGGGGGGGTGCATGCATCGATATTGACTACTACCTATATAGCCTACAGCATGCTAGCCTCGAAAACCCTGGTGTTTTCTATTATTAACTTAGCTCTCCTTATTAGCTAGGCTCCTTGCATGCTTGCTAATAACCTTTTTTTAAGCTGGGTTGACGGCGTTGTGTTGGACAGATTTGTGCAGCAGTGTTCCATGAGGGAGAGTGGGCGAGAGAGGGACGAGCGAGAGGAAGTGCTGCGCGAATGCGCTACGGCGCTCTGTAATCAAATACGATTTTAAATAGGTTTAGTAAAAAAAATAATCGAAAATCAACATGTGGCGATCAGCGTTGATATTGTGGCGGGCCGCCACAAATAAATGAACGTATGGGAAACACTGGAATAATATTAGCTAATATTGTTAATTTCTCTACGTTTTCTTTCCAGCCATCTCTGCGCAACACTCGGCGGTTTGCACCTTCTTTCAAAGGTATTAAATACAGATGCTGTTGCACATTAAATACAGATACTGTTGATCAGCTTACATGTTAATTTGCTGATGATATCAAGTTTGCACACATTTTTACTCACACAAAACTTTAGTAAATCTGGCCCATAGAGTTGAAACCAGGGTTTAGAAATTATGGTGAGATTAAAATGTTTTGTTTATTTTATTAGAGCTTATTTATGGTAATTCATACCAAAACTGAAGCCTAAACACAACCAAAGTAACACACTACAGTCACACAAACTTATGATAACTAATATTTTATTTATTTATTAACTTTTAATCTTTACAAAAACACTGTTTTATTTTGCCCTGATTGGATTTTGAGGAAATTCACACAAACCTGTAATATCTACAATGCAGTACAAGAAAATGTTTGTTGTCATTTCAGGTGGCCAAACTGTCATCAGCTGGAAAATAAGATGCCTGCTTTTGTCTGCTGAGTGACTAAGTGCCGCTACACGGTAATTAATGAGCACAGTAACACTAACCCTTGGCTAGCTTCCTTTTTCTCTACGCTTCTAGTGAAAGGTGTTGTTGTAAGAGTAGAATAAGTTAGATCTTTTTCAGGAATAGGTTCGTGTGTAATGTGTGTGTAGTGAGTGTGTGGGTAAGCAAATGACAGTGAGCGACAGAAAAGATTAGTATCAAGTTTTCAGTCTGGCAGTAAATGTAGGCTATAGTGTGTCGGTTAATAAATGCTACAGCTTCTCAAGAACAAGAAAAGTCTGTCAGTTGTTTCCCAATTGCTGGAAAGTGAAGAGAGTTAGTGTTAGCAAACATCTCCCCTGGGCTACCGGGCTGCATTTTCAGGACCGCATCTTAGGACTAGGATTGAACTGGTTGACCTTCCTTTGGCAGCTATAACCTCAACCTAATGTTTCCTTTAGTTGCAGGTCAGACTTGAACAACGGTCAGGAGGAATGTTGGACCATTATTCTTTACAAAACTGTTTTAGTTCAGCAATATTCTTGGGATGTCTGATGTGAATTGACTCTCTTGAGGTCATACCACAGCACCTACATCGGGTTGAGGTCTGACTCTGAATGGGCCACACCAGAATCCATATTTTCTTCTGTTGTTGATTTATTTGTGTGCTTTCGTTTGTTGTCCGGTTGCTTATGTTGATCTTTAATTTGTGGACAGATGGCCTTACATTCTCCTGCAAAATTTCTTGCCCTGAGGCAGTGAATCAGCCCCAAACCATGATTCCCCCTCCACCATACTTCACAGTTGAGATGAGGTTTTGATGGTGGTGTGCTGTGCCTGTTTTCCTCCACACATGGTGTTGTGTGTTCTTTCCAAACAACTCACCTTTGGTTTCATCTGTCCACACAACAGTGTTTGTCTGTTATTGTGATTTAGATGAAGATCAGATCACATTTTATGACCAATTTATGCAGAAATCCCGCTAATTCCAAAGGGTTCACATACTTTTTCCTGTGACTGTAAGTCAGTGATTGTATGCATGTGAAACAGTTTACCCTACAGCTGTGCACATTGGCCATTAGACCAATGGTCCTTTGTGTTGCTGCGCATGACCCCCGCCAAGTCACTAGGTGGCGATGTTGGAAAAACCTACGATCCTGTAAATACAGCCTCAGATACTGCAACTATATACTATTTTTTGTAATTACTACCTACTTGCCCAATGTTGAGAACACCAGAAACAAGCTTAGACTAAACTCTGTCCTAAGTGCACATCCTTATCGTTAAATTTTATTTCAATGCTGAATGCGACACATCTTGATTTATATAACACTAATACAACACATATGTACAGGGTGCAAATTTTACTTTTACTTAGCCAAATGGCTATTGAATATTCAGTGTATTAAATCTGTTGTATTGGTGTAAAGCATGGTGCACTTTGAGTCTTAAATCATCCTGAACAAAATTGGCCTGGAGCCTAACACTTTCCGACCCGTGTGAGACCCCTGTATCTTTTTGTTTTCTCGAAATCTTGATTTAATTATGTTATTATCTTGGGGAAAATTATCAAATTTTTAGTGATAATAACATGAATAACTTGAGATCTTGAGAAAACAAATTAAAAACTCATTATAATGGGATAACAGAGTAAATAAAATGTATGGATTTATGGCTTCTTAGGACTCCTGTACAGATCAAATACCAATCAATAATATCTTTCACCAACTAAATATAATTAAATCATATCAGCAACAGATTATATAGTTGACTTATAACTGCTCAATCATCCATCAGATATCGGAACTGAGAGGGTTCAATTTTAGCATTTAGCATGCAAACACTAATTTGATCATTTATTATTAAATTATTATTAAATTTTCACCTATCCAGAAGAGGACCCATACCTTTAGATGAGAGGCTGTGAGAAGAGTCTTGTCCTTAGGTGTGGATGTGAGTGTGAGTTGTTTGTCTATGTGTGGCCCTGCGATGGACTGGCGATCTGTCCAGGGTGTACCCCGCCTTTCGCCCGATGTCAGCTGGGATTGGTTCCAGCCCCCTATGACCCTGTATGCAGGATAAGCGGTTGACAATGGATGGATGGATGGATGGATGGAAATCTAATGTGATTTATCAAAATCCTCTATGCATAAAGCCAGTAGCTGCTAGGAATGCTAACTGGTAACAAAAGCTTCCCTCTCTGTTTCTCTTAAAAAATGTCTATCAAGAAATTAAAAAAAAGTCTAATCAACCGTGATCAGAACAGCAACAAGATCCCCAGAGTGAGAGAAACTTTTTGTCCCTCTCTTATCAGGAAGAACTCAAGTTATCTTCTAAATATGGTAAAAACATGAAATAAAATTCAGACATTGGTCAAAGCTCAATTCTTCTACGTCAAACTTACAAGTGATCAGATACAAATAATGTCTAATAAGCTGATTTCCAGTTAGCCTGGTGCTTAAGAATGGTTTAAAAAAATCAACAACTGGTGACATTTACACAGGAAATTCAGAAGTGAGAGATCTCTGTCTCGGTCCAACAGGAAGCTCAGCCTCAACTGAAGACGAGGACTTCTCCATTAGCGTATGTCACAAGTATGGACAGACCATTTCAATAGCATGTCTGTGGTTACAAGTGTTGTTTTTCTCTGCAGCAGCACAGCTGTCAGAAAGCAGAACCAACATTCACAGTTCATTTCATGTTGCAGCCATCATGTCATGAAACCAGACATGATAACAATGAGAAACAGATTTGAAAAACAGATCTGAATAGTTGTATTCAGACTACACCAGACTGCTTCATTTACATGTTAAAATCAGAAATATTTTAATTTGCATGTATGAATTACAGTGTGGTTTCACCACAGAATGACTATCTGGCTGATTCAGTTAATCTAATGCAGGAAAAACATTAAAACTCAATGCTTTATAAATAGACCAGAAATAGCTTTTAAAACTTTTAGAAAAGTTACCAGAATTATTTACATATTGTAGAAAAGAAAGAAATGTTCAGGGACTTGACCGAGGTCCCATCACTGTAGCTGGAATAAATCATCAAACTCTCTCAACTGGACAGAGTACAGTTTTCACTGAGAAAGAAACTGAAGGAATTTAACAAAATATGGCATCTCCTTCTTGGTCTACAGAAATAAATAATAAAATATCTGGAACACATGTAGCCACTGCCCTGTTTATTATTCCCCTTTTGGTATCAGTTTACTTCAATTATGTTCAAATTAATCTTTGGAGTCGTGATATTCATGATGATCAAAGTTTTGCTTTTTCTTTCTAAAATTAGAAATAAATATAGAAAAAATGATGTATGTAAAAACATTGTGAATATTCCTAGAAAGCATGGCTGTAGCACCTGATTCCTGTTTTGACAGGAAAATAATATTTTTTGCGCAAAGTGGGCACAGTTTGTTTATAGAAGTGTTTTAAAGGTGTAATATTTAGGAGGATCTATTGAAAGAAATGCAATCAAAAACATATAATTATGTTGTCACATAATGAACCGTTATGTTTTCATTACCTTAGAATAAGTAATTTCTATCCACATACTGTACACTGCAGGTCCTCGAAGTCGCCATGTTGCGCCACCATGTTTCTACTGTCTCTGCAGAGCGCATTTCGTCACTACGGTGAGTAAGTACGTAAGTAAGTAAGAAGAAGAAGAAGAAGTGGTAGTAGTAGTGGTAGAGGTTGACTGGTTTATAAGTAAAACATTAAGAGAAATTTGGACAAGTGGAGGACCACACGTATTATTTAGCACAAGAGCCAACAGAACATGTTGGTTACCTTAGCTTCTACTGCTTGGAAAGGGAAGGTTGAGCGGTGAATATTGATGCATTCATAAGGTGTCGGAATAATAGGAAATGTTTTTTTCCTCCTTAAATCTTTATTGCAAAAAGAGAAATAAAATGTATATGGGACATAAAGAAGTACACAGAACAATATACAAGTATATAAGAAGGTACACATAAATAAAACATTGGCATGGTTAGTCAAGATATTAAAAGAGTTTAATGTTTTTACAGCCTTTTTGTTGCTGGATTTAGAAATTAAATTGATATATGACTTACCATGTTTTCCAAACTTAGGGTCGGAACCCAACTTGGGTTGGAGACCTGTTTTCATTGTTTAAAATGCAAAACAATGTTATGATATGTAAATACGTGGATGAGTTTTCTTTTTGGCTCCACTGCTTGAGGTTTTCTCTCTCTCTTCTTCCTAACCTGATCTTTGGCTATGCTCTCTCTGCTGTGCACATTCACACAGAATTTTTATGGCCGCAGTCTGTCAGTGTTGATCCTATGATGTCCAAACAAAAGTACAAGGATGAGTTTATTAATGTTGGCTTCACCAAAGCCACGAGGGCATGGAGAGGAGAGGTCTCAGTGGGTTTTATGTGGGAAGGAAGGACAAAGAACAGCATATTGGAGCTGGAGGATGCAATTCAAGGATTCACTGCATGCCTGGGTCTGTAGCAGTCTCAGCTGGGTTCAGGAGAACTGGCAATGTTTTCTGTCCTCTCTGCCTACCTGGAGAACACAGGTGTTCCTCTGATTGACTATGTGAAACAGAAGTTTGTCTGTCTTATTGAAGAACTTTAAATGGTACTTCCTCGACTCTCAGGGACCCCAAAACCTTCAGTGGGTTAAGGAATCCTTTCCAAGCTGTGCCATCACTAGAGCTTGGTGTTTGAAGTTAGAGGCACTGGTCACACTGCAGGTAAACAGTTGCAGTAAGATGCTATTTGAAGGGGTTAAAGTGGAGGGTGGACATTTGCAGTTTTCAAGTTCAGGGTAAAACTTAGTAACGGTGTTTGGAGAGGGCACTGTGTTCCAGGAAACGGCTTAAATTCAGAGTCTGCTGTCCTCAGTTTCTGATGGAGTTCATCCAGAGTCTTAGTCTGCAGATATTTGTTGTCAGATTCATCAGGAACATTGTCACCCCAGTGCGCGCTTGCTATCCAAGTCTTTGTTTTGGAGCTGTAGCAGCAGAAGGCTGACCAGAGCATGGTGGGAATATTAATCCTGTTTCTGAGGAAGTTTGTGATGTTGGGTAGCGCTCCAGTTACCACAAAGCCTTCAGTAGCATTGTTGTTGTTGATGCAGTATTTGTCCATAACACATTTGATGCACTGCTCCATTCTGTTCCAGCTTCCTTGGTTGAATGTTTTTGCTTGTGGAACGATGTTGGTCAGGGTGAAGGTGGATCTTTTGTCCGTTTTGTTGAATCCGTAAGAGCTTGGAATTAAATGGCCTCTGTCAAACCTTACATTGTTTCTGTAATCACTGTTCCCAGCCTGGTTGGTGTAGGTCTTGTTTTTGTCTACATCCCACATGTTCTTGTTCTTGTCATCTTCGTTCTCAAGCTGGAAGAGTTAAAGGCTAAATTACTGATGCAGGCAGCGAAGTAAAGCAAATTAATTGTACAGTAAAAATGTCCATTTATAAAAAGCTGCAGAGAATGACTTTCTTTCTTTGTTTGGTTACATCATGAGGTCAATGACAACTGTCTCTCATCTTGACCCGGGTTAAAGCATGGGTCAAACACTACACTGTGATTATTAGAGAGAGTGATTCAACAAATGCATAGGAAGTAAAATTAAATTAAAGTAAATACTAAAATAAACACAATAAATGTGAATATCAAATAGGTCTTAAATGGAATCCACTGGGGCAGATGGCCACAAACATGGTTGGGAGGTTTCAGAAAGGATTAAGAGATGGACTAAAACGTTGTATTTTTGTCTTTTCAATGCATTTGTTGACAATAATAAAAAAGGAATGAATAACCGCCTCATCATCTTTAAATTGCTAATCATGCAATGTAATGTAACTCTGTAGTTTAGCAGTGAAGTGTATCGGACTTCTGAAACCCAGAATTAACCTGTGGCAGTTGTCTTATATAAATGGGTCCAACACAGAGTGAACGAGCACCCAGTAGACCAGCATCCTACGTGCATCACCTTTGTGAAAGGATAGTGAAAGGAGTTGTGAAACCTACTAGTGCTACTACAATGATGATATTTAGGGTTATGAAGCATAATAATGATCATGATGACTATTGTTGTTTGTATAAGTGCTTGTATTATTATTTTTGTAAGCTAATACTTGTAGCAACTGTAGAATAATACTTTCTTATTATCTTTTTTTAATTTTAGAAAAACACACCTGTGGCTCAATCTTCCAGTCGTTTTGAGGTCTCCTCCCTCTTCCATTCCTCTGTACTTTAAAGCAGAAAACACTGGAATCTTGTTCATGAGGTCGTAAAGCGTCACAAATGTTCTCTTTTTCATAAAAGTCTGGCAAATGGGTTTGTATCGGTTCTGGTTCAGGATGTGGCCGCCCTCCAAGATTCCTGGGATCTGAGGTGGCTTTGCTTCAAGGAGAAACTCCGCACAGTCGGACACCGACTTCACCACTTCAGCAACTGTGGGAACAATGGGCAGGAAGGCAGCGAGGAGCAAGAGATACCACATCCTCATAGACGTCATCGTCAAACGCTGTGTCTTTTTAGGTCAGAGGAGAGGAAAAAAAACAACCATCAAATAGTAGTTAAGCTTTGGAACTGAACATTTCACTTGTCATCCTGGACTCCATCCTTTTACTGTTTGTACATGTCCATTGGAAAGTACAACTGCACATATAACTGTTCCCCAAATCGACCAGTACGAGCGTTGGGAAGTACCAGTCCAGCCACAGGTGTACCGGATGTTATATAGGTTACCTAAGTCAAGTGACATTTTTTCAATGTGGAAAACGTTGTGAAACTGGTAGTTTGGTTAGGTGTTACCATTTGGTTTAGGCAGAAAAACCATTTGGTTAGGTTTAGGAACAAAGTCAAAGTGAAAAATTTTATTGACCTTATAACTTATCCACTTTGACTTTCTTTCACACGGGACTCAAACCTCGGTCTTCTGAGTGACAGTCCTGAGTTTATTTGACACACATCTACCCCACCCAACACATTCTCACTCCCAACTTGTTTACATATGACCTTGGTGCAGCTTCTTAAAGCCCTGGGTACCCCTTTAGCTTTGTTTTTCGACGTGTAGGGCTATGCAGTCAAGTTAGCGAGAAAGAAATGCATCGTCTGGTTAAGTTTGCAATAATAAATGTGTAATGTCTTGTAAAACTTTTAAACTGATTTCACTGTAAACTGTGAATGTGCTGCAGGAGAGCATTGTTTGTCAGGCATAACAACAGTAACTATGGGGGCGGAACTTCGCTAGAAGCCGTTTGCAGTCATCACACACAGAGATGACATGATAGTTAAACACCAAATCAATACAAGTAACAACACTGTTTAAATCATTTCCCAGTAGGTACACATTTAAACACATAATACAGCCAGAATCAGTTCATCTTGAATTTTAAAGGACAATGTACAGAAAATAACTTAAATTTCTTAGAGTGTACTAGAAATATGTATCTGGTCAGAATATATAGCCTATCATATCTATTTTTGTATATAGTAATAAACAAGTGAACTATCTAACAAGTGTGGCAACTTTCATATATTATACTTATATATTAGTTTCACTTTAGGTATTAATTTGGATATATTTAAAGTAGATTCATGATATATTTGATTTTGGAAAAAGTCAAGAAAGCCAACAATTTGAGTAAAATTTAAGTTTAGTTTTCTCTTTCTAAAAAACATTATTTACGGAAATGAGGCAGTCAGACCGAGATCACAGCGTGCAGAATTTCTTATTTAACAAGAAGTCATCTACTACAAGAATACATTTTTCTTTGTGTAAAAAAGTGTTACACTCATAGGATTTAATCAATAATCAAATAATTAAGAAGCACAAACTTTACAGTTGTGCTTCTGCAAATGAGTACTCTCTAAATCATCAATGTTGAATGCGACAGGTGAAAAAAGCCTGAAATAAATAAGAATTATGTATAAAAAAGTAAAAGAAAACTTACCAGCTCGTGTACAGAAATTAGTCAAATGGTGTCTTTGTATTTGTAGCAGCGAGAACCAGACAGAGTTCCTTAAATATCAAAAAAGCTTTAGAGGAAGTGTGAATTATATTCTACAATCAGCAGTTTATAACACTGGAGAAGAGGATGTGCTAACTTTCTCTAATAGATTAGTCTTGATTTACGTAATGCATCCAGAGAAAAACTTAATCACTTCAGTTCAAACTGACAGAAGATAGGAAACTCAAAAACACAAACAACAGACACAATATTATGAACTGATGGATAAAGCCAGTTGAACTGCCATTTAGTAGAGGCCTGTATCTATAAAGAAACGAGAATAAGAGTCGGCTTTGTACTTTGTACTTAGACACAGCAGGGCTTTAAACTAAATGCTAACCTGCTCACAATGACAATGCTAACACACTGATCTTAAATACCTTCAAAACATTCCCATCAGCTTCAGCTGTACTGTGTGTTCAGTGCTAAATAGCTAGTAGGGCTGCAACTAACTATTATTGTCATTATTGATCATACCTATCATTTTCACGATTAATCGATTTGTTGTTTGGCCAATAAAAATGTTAGAGTAGGGTTAAAAATGTCTAAAGCCAAGGTCACCCACTCAAATGTTTTTACTGTTTCACTTTTAAATCCTCTGAACCTCATGAACAACTGTTTAAACTGGGTGTTACAAGCCGAAGCATTACTCAGCATCCTGTCCAGCTTCCCAGGGCACATTGTCCAACACCAATTTTGGTTTAGACTAAATTTGACAATGTTTTTCTATATTGCCTAATAAAGGTCAGAACACAGTTATCAGTCATCTGACATTATTTTCTGCTGTCTGTTTGAAATAAAAGGCAGTTTAATTCACTATAAAGATAAAATCACCACTTCACCCACATCATACAAATCATGTACATTTACTATCTGAAGCCATGCAAATGACACTTCCTGTTTCCCATCATCATAACAAATGAAATTAAACAAAAAGTAAAGTAGCCTACAATAAAATGTAAACAAAACAAAACAAAAACATCTCAGTCTGATGATTCAAACATTTGTGACAGAACAATTCTCAGGTTGGTAATTCTGCATTGAATCATTTTCATATTTAAGGCAATGCTATATCTGTATTGGTCAATTTGTTTTTATATATATACGTACAGGTTAGCTGCTGATCAATTTTTTCAAGTTTAATTCACTCTTAAACATAATTGAATTATCACAGACTGAAGGCTTTGTTGAAATGTCCTAATTCAAACAAAGAGTTGTATATTTTCCTCATACAGGTAGAAACCCACAGGTGTGGTAAAGAGAGAGGCAGCTGTAGATGTGGCGAGAGTAGATAATGGACCAGAAGTGGGTTTGAAAGAGGCAGATGTTGGCAAGAAGTGGTTGGACAGTTGTGACTGTTTGTGAAAAACTAAGAAACAGGACATTTTGTTTCAGGAAACACATCTATCCCCAGTTGTCGTTTGAGTTCTGCTCTCTGTTTGAGTGTAAGTGAGCACATATTTGGTTTCTGGAACATTGTTGGCCCAGTATGCCATTGTGATCCATTTCTTTGCTCTGGGGCTGTAGCAGCAGTATGCTATACAGCTTAGAGGGAATTTTAACCCAGTTATTTAGTTTGTTGTTGCTGTTGTTGGGTATTGCTCCAGTTACCACATAGGCTTCAGTAACACCATTTTTGTCTGTGCAATATTGGTCTATTTGATATTTGATGCTCTTCATCATTGTTTTCCAGCTTCCCCGATGAAATTTTGCTTGTGGCAAGAATTTTTGTCAGATACATTGAACCCATACAAGCTTTCGATTAACTGGCCCTTATCAAACCTTCCATTCACACACACTGTAGGTCATTCTGACTCACATACACCGTCCTGCTGCCCCAAATCATTTTAATGAATCCACCGCTAAAAATAGTCCCCAACAAATGCACTATTTCCTCCTGATTGAACGCTTAAGAACTACAGTTGGGCCTTTTTTAAGAATGAAAATATATATGTGAGCTGTTTCTAAAGATTTAGGAACCACAGATGGAGAAGAGAAGTCAGAAAGTATTTGTAGTAATGTTGATATAAATATAGAATATGAGCTGCCTTATCCCTTAATTTAAATTAAGTATTATGAAATGTAATTCTATGGTTTAGCAGTGAGGTGTTTGGGACTACATAACTTTCTCTTATTATAATAAGTCTGACATATGAATTTGTATCAGGTCTGGTTCAGAATGTTCCCGTCCTCCAAGATGCCTGGGACCCGAGGTGGCTTTGCTTCAAGGAGAAACTCCGCACAGTCGGACACCGACTTCACCACTTCAGCCACTGTGGGAACAATGGGCAGGAAGGCAGCGAGGAACAAGAGATACCACATCTTCATGGACGTCATCGTCAAACACTGTGTGTCTTTAGGTCAGAGGAGAGAGAAAAAAAACATCAAACATTACAGTTTGTTTCTTCAGTTACGTAGTGAAACAGGAGCAAACACAATGGAGGTATCTGTTTTTAAATGCGGGTTTTGTGTGTTTTAATGGTTTCCGCCATGGAGAGTCAGGAAGGAAAGCAGCCACTGCGTTTGTTTCATTCAGTGCATCCCGATATATCTGGAAATCGTATGTAACTGCCCACTGTGCCTAAGATTGCACTAAGTACTTGGGACAGCACACCTGAAAAAACAGCCCGTTCTCATCTCAGGGCATCCAATACCAACCCTTTCAGAAAAAGTGACAAAACATAGTTATTTGACGCTAAAGGGTACCTTTAGCAAACAGGGGCGTTTCATACGTACGCTGAAGGGTACCATCAGCGTAAAATCCTTGCGCTTTGTCACGCTGTCTGAAAGCGTCAGTTATGACACATTGACGTGAGAATGTGTTGGAAAAACTGTTTTTGGAAACCGCAGCAGAAACAGCTGCAGTAGCTGGAATGACCCAGATGCAAGGAAATACCAGTAGATTGTGCTTTATCCAGCCAGAGGGAACAATCACCGACCATCCGCACCGTGCCCGGTCGCTCCACAATAACCTTTCCCTGGCCCTGTCCACCCCAACGCCCCATTCCCTCTCCGATACGTACAATGTGTTGTGTCGCCATTACGACCTGCCCACTGTGAACAGTTGGTGATCGTTCCCTCTGGCTACATGAATTTTATCCATGCTCCATGCACTGCAGCAGCTGGGGCTCTCTGCAGCACCACAAAACTTTTCTAAAGTCTTCCATCTTACAGAGAAAAGAAGTCACGTCGAAACGAAGTTTGCTTTATTGGCATGAATGAT